AAGGTGGTATTTTGAGTGAATGACTAATTTTGATATTTACTTAGCTCAATTCTTTTGACTGCATTCCCAAATGCGTTGCTTCTAGTCGAATCTGCTATGGCCAGTGGAGCTTTTATTGGAAAGTGCTCATTCACTCATGCTGTAGATGAATGTCATTCACAAAAAAACGTTTTTAGACGACATCTCACCGATACCATTGGATTATTTGAAATCAATTGGAGCATTTCCAATCACACAATTGATGGAATTAGATGAAAAACAGTTCACTGGACAATTCATCTCGTCCACTATTTTGACAACGAAATCAATTCAATCAAACAATTCACAAGTGGTTCAGCCAACGGTTCAATTTAATTTGACTTCCGTCCGAATACATTCAAACAATTGTTTCACATTATCGAACAGCTGGCGACGACAACAACACAAGACTCGAACACAGTCGATGTTCACATGTTAACCGTTTGTTTAAGGTTATTTACCACACATATGAAATTTTTATGCGTTGTCAAATCAAACGTTGAAAGAGATTTATTAAAACAAACGACGAAATAAGACGATCTGTTCGTGCTTTACCCCCTCAATCAAATTGTGGTATCGATTTAAAGGCATTTGCAACTGACGCTGAATTAAGAAAATGGTTTGAATTATTATTGGCATTGGCTTGTGATGGCGATGAAAAATCGAACGAGTCAACAATATGCGAAGAAGCATCAAAAGCTCTTGTTTACATCATCGACCAAAAGACATCGTCATTCGCCGAAAAATTATCTTTTATCGATAAATATATCTTCGAAAATAAACATCCTGCATTAATCGAGCAATTCTTTATAGAACTGAATGAAAAAGTAACATTACTAAGCTGGATTGAAGTTATGTGCGACGACGACGATAGCAAGCCAGATAAAGCAACATCATATAAAATATCGTAATCATTTATCGATATTTGCTTGGATCCATTGAGTGATATGAAAGAAGAACAAAAACAGCGAATACAACAAACATTATTGTTGTTTCAGCCGATGTTTTAAGACCCATCACCCTCACCGAAGGGGGGGGGAAAAACCCCTTCGGTTTTTCTCAAAAACACCTGTTTTTCGTTATTTTACCTATAGTTCCGCGAGTTTTTGTTCAAATTGTTTGAACAAATTCTCAGTCGAAAGAGCGTGAAAAACTGAACTAAGTGACATATCGTTTATAATTTTGAAGTAAAAACTGGTGCTGAAAAAGTTAAGCTCCGGAACCTCTTAGAGGTTAAGAAATGAAAACCACATTTTCTTAACCTCTAAGAGGTTCCGGAGCTTAACTAGAAAATGGTTTACCTACTTTTGTATGCTGAATCGAATGGGAGTGATTTCAAAAAAAATAAGATTGACCCCTTGACAGGAATTCTTGGTCTAGCGAAAAAGTCTCTCTGAATAATGAATTCTACTATCTGGTACAGAATTGCATTCTCAAGTTTAACTAACAGTCTTCATTTATACATAGAAATATTCGCAACTGATCGTTACTTCGTCTTCACTTGGTTTTCCTTATACCAGAACTTGGCACACGACCTTACATGATCAGTAATTCCTTGTGGTTTAAATTCTTTTCGACACTCTGGACACGTGTAGTGATGGTAAAGTCAGTGAACTGCATTAGAGAAATAGAGCAAGAATAAAATATATTTAAATACTGTAAGTTTTTGCAATAAGAAAATGAAAACTGTTACATGAGAAAAAAACTAAGCAAAAGTATGCACGCAAAGTGTATTATTATACTGAGATTGTTGCAAGATTGTTGGTGTTTACCTTCACCAACATAAAAACATTTATAATCAAATGTCTATAATTAGTTTGACTTTTGAATATTCAACATTGGAATTATTAATGTTTACTATACAAATGATCTTTTATTTTGAGAAAAATAATACAACTGTGAAGACGATAGAATACAGTCATTAGTATTAAACAATCTGCTATAGATTTCCATTTTTCACGATAATCTATATCTACGTCAGTTAACCTCCAGTAAACGGTCATACAAAAACATTAAGCGGCAACAAACAGTTAATGGCGAACTTCTGTGTGAATAATAAATAGTCTGGAAACGTTCAGCAAACGGTCAGTAAACGCTGACCGTTAACTGACCGTTTTCAGGCGATCTTTGGACCGTGAAACGGCCACACTAAAAACCGCAAGTTAACGGTTTGTTTACTAAGCGTTTTTTTGCCGTTTTTATAACGTTAACGCGCCGTTTTTTGTGTGACCGTTTACCGGAGGTTAACTGACCGTTAACGGGCGGTTTTTTTGATTGCTCGGAGAAAACAGGCTGAAAAAGAGATATGTATACGGCAACACTTAGTTGTTAAGCACCTTTAGGACCTAAAGATGGATGATCTTTAAAGGAAAGAAGGAATTCTTCCCGTCTGCTATAAAAGAAAGTTCTCCCATCTCTACTACCACTCGGGCAACAATGATCTAGATAATATCGGTATCCATATTGACAATGTTCTTTTAATATTGACTTTTTCAGAAAGAACCGATTTTCTACAGGAGAAGCACTAACTAAATGTCAGTATAGATGATGTGCACTAATTATTAGAGCAGCTTATTGTGACAAAGAAACATTCGAATACCGTTTGGAGAAAACAAGACAAGCAAACATCTTTTCACAAGACAAGACTTTCTCTTGTTTTAGAAATCATAAGTCCATGACGATCACAAGGATGATTCATATTCAATAGCAATAACAAATAGAGTATACAAAAACGATTCTTCATCATTGTAGGTCTTACTAACGATTGTTTCATTTTCATTTAATCACAAGACAAATACAATAAAGTACGAAGTAAAACTTAATGGTTTCGACTAGTCCAAGCATAACGGAATTGCGCTCTTTCATTTTGTTTCTCTAATATCTCAGTCAGGTCAAATCGCACAAGGCTGAAATTTTCAGAGTACATGTAAGTTCAGTTGCTCTACGTAGAACTGCAAAACACAGGTAAACTATAAGAGCTACAACAAAGCTTTCGGTAGGAAAGTTGTAGCTTATACAAATGTCTGTAGACAAAAGAAAACGTCTTTTGAAAAATATTAAAATTTGGTTTTGTAATTGAAAAAAGCCGTCGTAACGTAATCACGTTTTGAGAAAAGCTTTTTTCTTCAGAAAGCTAAAAACAGTTAATCAAAATACACAAACTGCTATCTTATATAAAGAAACTAGGAAATAAAAGGTTCAGATACATTCTTTTGATTTTAGCTTTTCGTTTACAATGCTCCTTTAGATCATTATATTTAGCTTGCTTCTACTTCAATCGATTTCGATAATTTTTCATTCTTTCAGCCTCAATACCATTTTAGCAAAAAAGATCACAGATTCAAATCTAAAACTTCATAAGAGGCAGCAGAACAGAAAGTGCTTCGAAGAGGTTTGAGCATTATTTCATACCAGTAAAAGTTGATGGTATATAGAAACACAAAACGAAATCGAAAAAAAAATCCGTAAAAATCAGCAATAAGGCTCTACAATCAACTTTGCGCATTGAACCTTCTACATAAAATATTAATAAATCTTTTGTAGAAAAACTTAATCATTCGATAGTGATTATCCGTTACGCTCATCCGGACGAAACTTGGATAGCTATAGAAAAATCCGATTAGTCCACTGGAAAGAGCACAAAAAACTGGATTTAGTACACTAACTTTCGAAATCCGAAATATTTTCTTCTCGACTAAAAATGAATTACAAAGATATTTCGTAACCGAGTCACGTTCACAAAACCATTACCTTTACAAATGCTAATAACTTTGCCAATAAGTGACAAAAATAGTCATCTTACCCTGGCTAGAAAGTCTACTCAAGATAGTTTTAGATCATATGATTGGTTTTGATAGAAACATATTTTTTTAAGCTGTAAAAATAAGAAAACAAAAACCTATGTTTCTCTTTGCCGTTTTCGAGTGATATCTCTTTTTCAGCCTGTTTTCTAGGAGGAATCATGTATATGCAGAGATGCTATCGACAATCATCTACAACATAGTTAGGTTGATTTTACTTAACTGCGTACTTCAATTTCGTCAAAAAAAATCTACTGTTAGGCGCACTGCTCGGTTGATGTTAAGATTGACATCTATGATGGGAAAAAGCAAAGCGACTTTAGCTTAAAGGATATCCGGATCTTGTATCATATTCTTAGAAGAAAGCTGTTTTTTAGCTGCATGCGTTCTGTTTCCTGCAGCAGTAGCTGATGAACGAAAGAAAAAGGACAGATTTTATCGGTGACCTCTCGAATGAGAACCATTTTCTTAATAATTTCTCAAGTGAGAACAGTTGATGATGAAGTGAGAAGTTGATGGCACTGAAACGTGGCGTTGTAGTGAGTAAGTTGTCTGGTTAGTATTGCTTCTCTTCTGTTGTTGAAATTGAAATAATCCATGCTAAGCACCAATATTTGCATCGATGTATAGATTTTCAAGAGTATTTTAATGTGGCTAGAAAACCATATTATAGAATCTTGTAGTGTTTGTCAGATGGTCTTTTAAACAAAGAAGTTTCGGGTACGGAAGCTCGAATATGTATTTTGTTTATATTCTTTACCATCACAAAATTACTACGTGTTTGCATCTATTGCAGTGGCTATTTGTTCCCCTTCGAGAATGTAATGTTTGAAAATGTTCTCCTTTAACAATAAATTTATAGATTGTTCTCGTTCGAGAGTGCAGCAGCTGAATAGGTTCTCCTTCGAGAATGCACTGGTTCAAAGTGTTCTCAATCCAGATGGCGTCATTTTATCGTCTCGTCACAGGTATAGAATTATCTTCTCTCTCCTCTCTTTCAGTGAAACAGAGAATTTTACTTTCACCAGAAAATTCAATTGTCAGACACCTCACTGACAAAGAGAACTGCAAGAATATGCCAATAAAGTCAAGACAAAATTGGTGTGCAAGTTTGCTTTAAGTGCATCTTATATAAGGTGAAAAAATATTTAATTGACTTCTAATTTTAGTCGCTTAATATTTTTCTGCTTAACATTAGTCTGTAGAGCCTTCCTTCCAGTTGCATTGATGCAATACTAATTCTCGGTTCTAAATTCGTTCTAGTTTTGCTTTCTACATCAAGGAAGCTGTGGCAGTGAGAAAATACTGTTCAGGTATACTCTGATGTTGTTCACATGCTATAGGCCCGCAATAGTTACCAGGCAGTGCGGAGTCATGACTTATATCCCGAACGGGATATTTATCCCGATCGGCCTATACGATTATCCCGATCGGGATGATTTGTATAGCCTGATCGGTCTATATAATCAATCAATCATTTTTCTGGCCTCCGCTTAACAACCAAATAAAAAACGGACGATGTCATTTGAAAGAGGATTCAAAACTGATTC